TTTTTGGAAAGAGGTGTTAGTCTTAGACTACTATATTACGAGTATGAGAAACCTCTATGATATCGTAATCTAATCACGATTTAACCCCCGTGGGTGAGTCATTTAGGACGTGGCCCACTTGGCATGGTTGAGGCAGAAATTATATAATGTTTGATATATCATGTTTGCATGATATTTTCAACTTTTGCAAAATCCATATTAGTTTACCTTATGTGAACACAGACAAAAGACATCGACGCATACATAATGGAAAAATAAAGTCCAACTTAAGATTGATGTTTAAAATTGCAAAATAAATATATAAATTATAGAGAAATGTTTTTGTCTCATTATGGAACTACTAGTTTTACCCCGTGCATTTGCACGACAAATGATAATAGAAAGAAAGTAATTAAAAATATAGAATAGAATAAAACTCATAATTTAATAAATGAGAAAAATATTATTAAAAAGTGACTGATATAGAAAATAGAGATATTTGTAGTCATTTTTAATTAGTTGTGAAATATGTATTTATATAATACCAAAAAATATATAGTATCAAAACAAAACCAAAAATATTTTATTTTTTAGGACCAAAAAAAAAAAAATTACATAAATGGGAACCATCCAAAATGAGATATGTCAAAATAAATTGTGTAACTGAAAGTTACATATTATTATTAAAAAAAAAATTAATTAGCAATATGTATCACATTTATGATTTAATTGTTACATTAACTTAGCGAGTTATTTGAGAATTAATTCATTTTAACTTTGATAGGGATATTAGTGTCGATTCGGCCTAACGCGACTCAACCTTACGCGTCTCAGCCGACTCTCGACCGGAAGGCCTCGACCAAGAGAGTGAGACCGAAAGGGGCTCGACCCTCGACCCTAACACCCGCGCCCCTAATACCCTCGCCCCTAACACCCTCGCCCTAACACTCTCGACCCTAACACCCTCGCCCCTAACACCCTCGCCTCTAACACCCTCGCCTTAACACCCTCGCCCTTAACACCCTCGCCCCTAACACCCAACGGTCGACCCGCATAGCCATACCAAGGAGTGGTCGACCCGCAAGGCATCGATCCCTAGCGATCGACCTATGGAGCCCGTACGGCGAGGGTCGAACATTGGCCATAGTCTAATCCTCATAGCCAAGGCCGCACGTCAACACCACAGGTAAGGGGTCGAACATCAATCCCGGTTCGACCCTTACTAGCAAGATTTTAGGTACGCGGAGCCGTACAACTCAGACACTATATAAAGGGTTAATTCACTAGAGAAAGGTAAGTCTTCATTAATGTTTTACCACAATATTTATTACACACAATTCTCTCTCTAAATCCGAGATCCTAACTTGGGCGTCGGAGGGCTTGCGTCGGAGAAATTCCGGCGCGCTTTCAGGTACCGGGGAACACTCAAGCTCGGACCGGACCAAATCAAGTGAGCCAACGCCATAACCGGGAAGAACCTTCCGTAAGACCGGATCCACCGATCTCGGACCATATCAAACTTAATTGTAGAATTTAATAAATACAAGAAATAAAAATATGAAGTTTGCAATATACTAAGGACAAGTGTTTTATGAATTGAATATAGTAAATAATATAATTTTGTATATAATTTGAATATTTACAGTAAGGACATAGTAAAAGAGAAAAAAAAAAAAAGCCAACATAAATCTTATATATCATATAAATGAATCTTTTATTGGTTTTCAATGAAAAAAAAAAATACAGGCCAATTCTACCATGTATTAGAAATTGATATATCATAATATTATATTATATAATAAAGAGATATGTAGTAGCATTTTTAGGTTTTATTTATTGCTCTATATATATATATATATTTACAGAAAAAAAAAAGATGTAGTAACAATATTGTAACAGTGACACCAAAATATAACATTACTTACTATTTATCAGAATAATAAAAAACACATTAAATTTACAATTTTTACGTAACATTATGATACTTTATTACATCATTAAATTACTTTTAAAAAATAATAAAATTAAAATGTAAGGTCTTTTAGCGGGAAAATGCCACGTAGGTATAATTTAATAGGTTTTATTAAATGTTCGTGAGTCAGTAATTATATATACTAGTTATCATCTTGTGCACATGCACAGATTTACATAAAATATTATAAGTAAT